TCCCCCACTCCACGCGGTCTCATTTCCCGTAACTTACACCTTTTCTCTCGATTGCGTAATTATAAAGATATCTACTTTGCGCAATATCTCACGAGGAAATCTGACGTCGCTATCATTTAACGTGCTTCTTTTAACGCTGGACTTGACAGTGTTCTCTTAAACTTCGCGATACGGATATATAAATCTACTCGGTTTCTTCCGTCTAAGGAAGATACCGGTACGAAGATAATACTAAACCCAGAACTCATTTTTCTTTCTAGATTCTGATCAACCTATTCTATCAATATCTCTTCTCTCCCCAACTCTAAATAATATTTTACAGTAAAATTATTTTGTAGGGTGAATTTTTATAGAGCGTTTCAAAAGATTTTCGCTCAGTTTCAATATGATCTTCCACTAAGAAATGAGATTGAGAAGGCATTTTTGCCGGATATGTGTGAAACGATCTTTTTACTTGGCGTCTTAGTTCCTAATAAAAGAATTAAAATTTAGAATAAATTAGCGCGACTCTGATCGACCTTTCTCCTTCTCTTTTTTTTTTGGTTATTTAATTGCAGCGTCCATTCTAAGAAATAATTTGGAAATTTGGACTATTTCGAGAAGAAACCTCGGTGTCCATTTGCACAGGTGTCGCGGGACGTCGAGTGGCGGAAATTGTCAGCGGCAAAATTACGGGCGACGGTCGATTCATCGACGTCGAAACAATAACAATCGGCGTATGCCCGACGATGCGGTAATTAAAATAAAATTAATTGGATTGCCCGCGCGCGCACTCGCGGCCGAATCTTTCGAAGGAGATGACTGCACAGCCGTAGGGGTGTTTTGTGCGTTATTGCATATAATGCACTGTTTATTTTGCACTCTCTCTCTCTCTCTCTCTCTCTCTCTCTCTCTCTCCCTCTCCCTCTCCCTCGCCGCTCATTCCCACCCCCCTTCATTCTCTTCTCTCCGATCCTCCTTTCGGAGCGAATATGTATTATACGCGAACACGTAGACATGTTATTATGTATACGGGCAATCCGCTTCTCCTCTCTTCATCCCTCGGGACGATTCTCGCACCGCGAGCTTCCCGAAACCATTGATACGTACACGCAATTCTTATAATAATTTTGATCAGTTTACGAGAAAATATCTATCGCTGTGCGTCAAAGGTATACGAAAGAGAGCATTGAAAATACGAATCTCAATAATTTGCTTGAACGGAAAATTACATAAATTTACAAAAAATATTATTAGGCACGGAGAACCGCCTTGATCGAATATGACATTTTTTATTCGCGTGTGTTTAATCTCTGATCAGACGATTCTCACTTAACATTCTTACTTGAATCTTGTAGAGATCCTATATAACAATGATTTGATAAAGAGAATAAAAATGACAGATAGATCTAGAATTATCTATCTTTTTCATTTCTTCTTTTTTTATTTTATTGCACTTTTCAAAAATGTACGAAGCTATCTGAACTACATACCGAATGGATCACAAGTGATGATCAATCAAAAGGCTGATCAGCTTTGATCTCTAGAATCTGTTCTTTTTCTGTTTAAGGCTCATTCTAGAATTGTA